TTTTTTTTGGCAACCTTGCTCTTAAATCTTTTTTATTTCTTATTTTTTTGAGGTTGGGTGGGTGGATGAGAAAGGGACTTTATTATTAATTAATTTGTATGCACATAATTTCATGTTACATTATATACATAGAGAGAAGCAAATGGTTATGTGAATGGCTTAGCCTCATGTCTATAATTCTTTGCTTGGCCTGAATGTGTTTGAGGCGATATCACACAGGAGATCAGACTTGTTTTCATGGAAATTTGATGGGAGTTTGCAACCCAAAGGCCTCTCTACTATTTAGTACTTAACAAGAATAATTTGAAGGAAATTATTAGATAATATCATACATATAATGCAATCAAAACCTCATTCCACTTAATGGTACTTGTTAGATCGGAAATAACAAATGATTGGATTGAAATGAATCGAATTTTTGTGATATCACATGTTAAGTTTTTGTTCAAATTATCTTTATTTCCAGCTACTACGAAGGACTTATCCTAAATTCAAAACAAATAAAACATATAATCTCAATTTTAAATTTTGGTGAAAACTCATGTCCTTAAATTTTGAGTTTTGCCTAAAACAAATGCTTTTTGACTTGGGTGGCTAGATTCTTTTTCTTTAACTTTTTTTTGTGGAAAATGGGGAATGGATTCTTTTTCTTTAATTTGGCACCATGTAAAATATATGTATTTTAATTTGGAGAAATTGTACTTATCTCTAATGTCTTTTGGCATAAGTGTACTTAGCACCCAAAATTATGAAAAAGTGCATATAATCTCTTGTACTTTGAAAATGTGTACTTAACCCCCTAAAATACTAAAAAATGTGCTCATAATCCCTTATGATTTTCAAAATGTGCACTTGATCCCCAAATTTATTAATATTGAAGGTGAAATCTCAAAAAACACTTAGAGTCTAAGCACAAAATTTTCAAACCATAAGAGGTTAGAAGCACATTTTCATTATTTTGAGAGTTAAGCGCTCATTTCAAAGCATATGGAGTTGAAGTTAAATTTTGTTATTTGTGGGGTTAAGCTAAACCACAAGGGTATAAGTACAATTTCCCCTTCAAAATTTTCTTAGTTTCGAAGTCTCTGTTTCTGTAGTCCGGACTACACATCTGTTTTTAATATAAATACCGTCCTGGGCTGAAATATTCATGCGCTTGTTAATCAATTGGCATTCTCCTTCTTAGCTCTCCTCCTCGCAGCGTTTTCCATTGTAGTTGACATCGGTTGACTCATTTACAGCATCGGTCAGTTCCAATTTCATTTCGGTAGAAGCATGGTCCAGTTTTAATGTCATCAAGTGATGCTTTATTCTTTAATGCTAGTAGCTTAGATCATTTTTCCTGTTTTTCCCTTCATCTTTTACTGGGGTTTTAGCGCTGATGACTCGAACTGTCTTCTTTATTTATTGACTGAATTCTAGTTGCTGTTACTAAATATGCAATTGGGATCAGTTCACTTGATTACAAGGTTAACTAGATTTAGCATTTTTTTTTTTTTCTTTTCTCTGTTTTGCAGTCTTTAATGTTAGTAGCTTAATCATTTTTCCTGTTTTTCCTTTGATCTTTTTTCTGGGTTTTTTGTGCGATGACTTGAACTGTCTTCTTTATTTCTTGACTGGATTATACTTGTTGTTACTAGATATGCAATTGGGATCTGCTCTCTTGATGACTGAGCTAAACAGATTTACCTATTTTCATTTTTTTTTCTTTTCTCTGTTTTGCAGAAACTGTGAGTAGAGGAGAATGGCTGGGGAAGAACAGAATACTCAGCAGCCTACAGGAGGCAAAGGGGTCGGTTTTCAGACCAAAAAACAGAACATTTCCAGGGGGGAACTCCCTAAACAAAAGGGAGCCAGAGGGATTATTGTTCATGAAAAGGTGAAGGCTATGGATGAAGTAGGAGCATCTGTTGCTTCGAAAAAAGGGAAACGAGGATGTCCTACCTCAGAACTATCAGAACAGAAGAGGGAACAAATGCAAAATGAAGATTGTCAAAGATGCAGGAAAAAAATGAAAGTAAGAAATCTTTGATTGCTTACTCCATCCAAAAGATGAAGAATGGAATGTAGAAACAAACAGGATATGAAAGACCAGAAATAAAAGAAATATCTAACAGAAGAAATTTTGAATCCGTTAATATATGATTTGGATTCATTAATTCTCTTTTCATTTGGCAAATGAAAGCCTGCTGTTTTCTTTTCAATTTCTCCAACATTTATTTCTTTCTGATCTTCATTTATTCTGCTTTGCAAATGAAGGCTGAATTCAGAAGATTTCAGCAAAAAGAAAAAAAGCTCAAGGCCTTGTGTGAAAAGCTTGGAGTTGCTGAAGAAGGTTTAGAGGTGTGATCTTTGACTCCTTTTCTCATTCCATATTAACTGTTCTTTTCTTTTTCATATGCACTGGCTATATCCAAACTAGCAGGGGATGAAACAAGAGAGGTGGAAAAATTGAGCTAGGCTTTTTCATTTTCCATTATTTATTTATTTCTTACCTTCCTTTATTTTCCTTTGTAAATGAAGGCTGAATTCAGAAGACTTCAGCAAATAGAAATAAAGCACAATGCCTTGTGTGACAAGTTTGGAGTTGCTCAACAGGCTTTAGAGGTGTGATCTTTCACTCTTTTTCTCCTTCCATATTCAACTATTCTTTTCTTTTCCATGCACTATATCTAAACTTAAAAGAGGTGGAGAAGCCGCCATGAATGAGCATGTTAATTAAGAATGCAGTAAGTTCTACAACTTTATAGGCTGTGCTAATGAAAAACTTGAGGACATAGTCAAAGTTTCAGACTTCTAAGGCTAAGAGGAAAGGATAAAAGAGTCTTTTTCGTGTTTTTACAGCCATTACTGTGGTTCTCTTAAGTTTTAACTGATAAAAGAGTCTTAATCACGTATCTGTTTCTGTTAATTGTATCTAACATGGGATTATTCATGTTTTTATTGATATATTAATGTGTCTCTTTCTATGCTTCTTTTAAATTGTAGTTGCTAATGGATGATTGCAATAGCTTTACCACTGACCAGCTATGTCTACTTTTTGTTAATATTCATATTTTGGGAATATCTTCTCATTCTGGAGCCATATGTTTTCCCTTTCTCTAGTTGTTATGAATTCATGTTTTTCTTCGTATCTCCTCTTTCCCCCCTTGTATCTAGTAATTGTATAGACTGTGCTAATGAAAGAACTTGATGACATTAGCCAAAATTTTAGACTTTATAGGCTAAGAGCAATGCTTCATGTTTTTACCGCTATGTAATCTGGCTCTTTATCTGCTTCTATTAAATTGTAGATGCCAATTGATGATTTCATGGAATTGGATGACCTGCCAATTGATGATTTCATGGAATTGGATGACCTGCCAATTGATGATTTCATGGAATTGGATGACCTGCCAATTGATGATCAATATAAAGTAAGTTTCCACAATTTTATACTGTAAAAAATTTACAAGGTTATTGTCGTCCCAAATTTTTTTTGAAGCACCTTCCTCAAAACTCATGTTATAGTTAATATTTTCAAAAACAAAAATTGGATTAAATATTTTATTTATAAAAATCATACACAGTAATTTTTAAATTGATCTAACATTTATAACCCTTTAATAAAAAAAATTCTATTTACTAAAATACATTTAAGGATATTGAATTTTGTATAATCAACAAACTGGTCAAACCTACTAGATCAATCTAAAAATTGATATGTATGGTTTATATAAATAGAACATCCAATTCAATGGGTAGTTTTTAAAAATAATAATTAAAATTGGAATATCCTTGATGAAGGACATTTGCAATCACTTAATGTTTGAAATTTTCTATTTTCAAAAGATGACTATTGGAATGCAAAGAACAAATCTCTATCTTTCTCCAACTCATTTTTGATATTCATTTCGTTGAATCTTCATCTTATCTTTTTTTGAATTGCAGAATAAGAGTCTGAGGCTCCAAAATATCGAGGAAGGCACCGTGAATGAGGAAGTTAATCAAAATACCGTAAGTTCTACAAACTTTATAGACTGTGCTAATGAAAAACTTGAGAGAACATAGTCAAAATTCCAGACTTCTAAGGCTAAGAGCAATGGATAAAGGAGTCTTTTTTATGTTTTTACAGCTGCTGCTCTAGCTCTCTTAGGTCTTAATTATGTATCTGTCTCTGTTAGTTGTATCTGCTAGGGATGCTTCATGTTTTTCTTGATATATTAATCTGTCTCTTTCTATGCTTCTTTTAAATTGTAGTTGCTAATGGATGATTTCAATAGCTTTACTACCGACCAGCCATGTCTACTTTTTATTAATATTCATATTTTGGGAATATCTTCTCATTCTGGATCCATATGTTTCCCTATCTTTAGTTGTTATGAGTTCACGTTTTTCTGCATATCTCCTCTTTTCCCTCTTGTGTATAGTAATTGTATAGACTGTGCTAATGAAAGAACTTGATGGCATTGGTCAAAATTTTAGACTTTATAGGCTAAGAGCAATGCTTCATGTTTTTGCCACTATGTAATCTGGCTCTTTGTCTGCTTCTATTAAATTGTAGATGCCAATTGATGATTTCATCGAATTGGATGACCTGACAGGCTTCATGATGGTATGTCTACTTTTTATTTAATATTTTTGGAATTAATACTCTCACCCTCTTATTTTATGAATATCTTCTCATATTACCCTTTCTTTAGCTCCTTAGAATGGATGTTTTTGTTTTTGCTCGTTATGTAGATCATAATGTGTTAACTCTATCTAGCTTATATGTTGCGTTCAGTTAGTGAGTAGTGGTGGTACCCAAATGGAAAACACATGATCAGAAATTTAGAATAATTGAAATATGTATATGAAGATCTATGAACTCAATATATTAATTTTTTTGAATTCAAGGGGAGATGTCTCATCATCTCTATTGGGCTTATTCGAACTCTCACGGGCTCGGATTTGCTACGTTTTTCAAGTTATCTATTGATCTCTCTTTCACAAATCATGTTTCCTTCAGTTTCGATCTATGTTTGGTGGTCAATCATCTACCACTGGAGGCGAGGGAGCCGTCATAAATAAGTCTCCTCATCAATATGAAGTAAGTTACCACAATTTTATACTGTAAAAAATTTACAAGGTTATTGTCGTCCCTTTTTTTTTTTTTTTTTGAAGGACCTCCCTAAAATCTCACATTATGGTTAATGTTTTCAAAAATAATAGTTAAATTAAATATTTTATTCATACAAATTATACATATTAATTTTTAAATTGATCTTGTATTTATAAGTATTTGATGAATAAAACTCTATTTATTGATTTATATTTAATTATATTGAATGTTGCATAATCAATGAATTGATTAGACTTACTAAATCAATTTGAAAATTAACATATATGATCTACCTAAGTAGAATTTTCAATTTAATGATTGGTCACAAATTACAATTGTACACACTGTCCTAATGAAAAACTTGACGACATGGTCTTAAAGACTAGGAGGAATGGGAGAAAAAGTCTTTTATTTTTTTTTCCTTTTCATGTTTCTACTACTATTAATCTGGCTCTCTTTATTTGTTTCAATCAAACTGTGCAGTTGCAATTGGAGGATTATAATGATCAGATCGAATTTAGTTCATCAAAACATTATTCCTTGAACAAATTAGAAAATAAAATAATTAAATAAAATAAAGATCATAGTAATTAAGGAATGCATATTCTTAAGTTGAACCGTTTCTCTTATGGTCGGTTGGAAGAGGGACCTTCCTGTACTTACTATAAGAAAAATGGTTCGACTGTAGAATATGCATTTCTCAGTTATTATGCTCTTTGTTTAATTTAATAATCTTATTTTTTTTAATTTGATCAAGAAATAATTATTGATTTCAACTATATTAAATCAGGTATGTCTACCTTTTATAGTTATTGGTATTTTTGAATCATCTTTTGGGAATCTTGTTTTACAATTCAAACTGCATTGAACTATAAAACAAAGATCATTAGATGGGGAAAGGGCCCCTAATATGAAGGGGTCCAACTCTCATCTAATGGTTGGTGTTGTACGGTTTAGTACAATTTAGACTGTAGAAGCAAGACTTTTTCCTTATCTTTTACCCCTCTTATTTACTAGGGATATCTGAATTCTAAAGCCATGTTTTCTCGTATCGTTTTTCTTCATATCTTCTCTTTTCCTCATCTTTTTTAGGGGATTGGCAGCTTGGGTAGCAAAGGTCGCGCAATCTTCAATACCTAGAGCTGGCAGGCTTAATGTTAAATGTTTTTCTTTGTGTACAACATATAGGGTGTGTAGATCTTTGAGCGTGATTGACATGTGTGAGACGCTCACTTGGTGTGTTATCAATGAGTTTGAGCACAGCAACTAAGTTGGTTTTATTCTGTTGGGTTTTTAATGTATTTTGGTAATGACCAAAATAATTTAGTGTTTGTCTCTTTTTATTGAAAGTAAAAGGTCTTGAATTCAAGTCATATGGCATGTGAGTGGAGTGAAATAAAGGATGGGAGATGGTTGCCTCCTCTTGTGCAACCAAAAAAGAAAAAAAAAAGTATTTTGGTGTAAATCCTAATCCATGAGATGCGAATAGGCTGAATATCATGTGTGTAGAATTTGTAGATGTTATATGGCTTGGTATTTACTTGATCAGTTTCCAAAATACCTTTTGTTCTCTCACTCAAAATTTGTCTCAAATT